AGCTTACACTGGGGAAATTAGATGCTGGTGTTTGGATGCATCGCTTTGGTGTTTAATGCTTCCTGAGCAGATGGTGGATGAAGAAAGATCAGACCCTGAGTGTACAGGTAGCATACCCCCCCTTCTGCTGCACACCTCAGTATTGAAAAACACAAACAATGTATAACATCATCAATAATGCTGCTGCAAACTGCAGAGTCAGAGGAAAGCTGAGCTCTAAACTGCTGAGCAGGAACTAAAGTTCCCCATCTATTACATTTATTCATCAACTTCTTTGTCTTAAATTGCAGATATTCTTCAACTTCATTCACTTGACTGGTTCCTAAAAATTAGGTGTCTAATATTTTGTAAAGTCAAATGAGATATATGTAGAAATAAAATAAAAAATAAAAAATGCATCTTTACACTCTGGAGGCACAAAGAACATCTGAGAGTTTCACACAGACTCACTGTTTTGGTTGTTGCCTTGAATGTAATTGAAGAGCTTTCTGAAGCCGGTCTTCACACATTCTTCACCCGTCATCCCACTCAGAGTGGTGCTCACCCACTTAGCAGCATGGTAGGTGCGGATCTCATAGTCCTGGCCCTGTTGGACACAGACAAACACACTTATTGGAGCTCAGGCCTATGATGCTTATCCATTATCTTTTCAAATGAACAAAATATCAGATCAGTTCCTCCGACACTGCAGATGGATAAAAGCCATTTCATCCCAGCGCTGCGTGTCTCGATCCTGTAACATCATCAGCGACCCCTCACACCCCCACTATGGACTGTTCTCCCTGCTGCCCTCTAGGAAGAGGCTTCGCGGCATTCGATGCAGGACCAGAAGGTTCTGTAACAGCTTTTTCTCCGCTGCCATAAGACTGCTGAACTGTTGAAACTCTAATCAAGTCACAAATGGAGACTCTGCTTCACGCTTGTAAACATAATATTTGCAAAACATGGTGAATTTCCCAATCCCTTTAAATGGAACTCAACTCAGTGTTCTATTGCATTTTGCACCATATCTTTTTATTTATTTTTGCACAGCTCTAAACCTTCCATATCAATACCTTTTGCACCATTTCACTCCTATACCGTTTTACATTTTGATCCCTGCTGCACTTTGTAAATGGAAATGTTCCTTTCACTGCTAAGCTGCTCCTTCACTGTTAAAAAGCTGTATGTAACAAAATGTCGTTTTGTATACACTGTGTATACAAAATGACAATAAATTTTGTCCAAGTCTGAATACTTTGCAGAAAACCACTCTTCATTATTCAGTCATGCCATGAAGTTGTCTCAAGTTTTAGAAATGCGAGAGCATGAAGGTTTAAATATTGCTTAATCGAAAAAGAAATACAAATACCCTGTGAAGTATTTACACCCTGCGATGTTCTTTGGTAGCAGTCCTCCAGAGTAATGCAGCCCCTTTATTTATGCACATTACCTTCTTGGATTGACCTGATTGGTTTTTTAAGTTTGCATTTTTCAACATTAATGTTCTACAGGTAAAATTCATATTTTCGATTTCATGCAAATAAAGCACATGTACATATTCAGCTTTCCAGTAAACAAATGTTATATTCAGAGCAGTTCAGAGGTTTATCCACCTTGACGGGAGTGTTTTAGCCTAAAGCAGGACTATTTAATTCCAGTTCTTCAAGTCAGGTGTCTTTGGATGATCTATTCGCAAACACAGGAGATTGCTGTCCAGGTCAGATATTAAAGCCATCCAGAGGGTTTCTATCTTGTCTTTTTATACATTTTTATTTATTATTTTATTTTTTTAACCTTCAGCTGATATCTTTTCTAATTAATTTCTAAACTCTGCTTAAAATATGGCTTTACCTCACAGGGTGCAAATGACTAAGCGTTTGGAATTTTATTTTAGTTTAATTTTATATAACTCAGTGAAATATATATGTATATATATATACTCTTACCCTGTAGCTCTTAGTTATAGAAAACATATTTCTTGTGCAGGAATAAGGTCTTAGCTCTGTTACACTGGTAGCCAATAATCAACATTTCGTTGTCACGATTCCCTGTGGGTTTTTTTGTGCAATGACACTAAAGAAAGTCTAAGTCTAAGTTTACGGTGGCCGGGAGGTGCAAACCAACATTACAAAATCTAAAACACTTTTACAAGTTCCAAAACAAATGATCATTTGAGGAATTCAACCGGAAAGGGTGGGTACTAACTCCGAGGATGAACCGGTCTGTTCCCCGTGTCGGGAGCGCGCATTGCAGCCAGAGAGGCGGATCTGACCATTTTTAAGGCGCTTCTGATTATTTCTCGGTGAACAGACCGGTTCAGCCTCGGAGTTAGTACCCACCCTTTCCGGTTGAATTCCTCAAATTATCATTTGTTTTGGAACTTGTAAAAGTGTTTTTTTTTTTTATGTAAATTTGTTTTCTGAAATGATAATTTGTTTTGGAACATGTTAAAGTGTTTTTTTTAAATGTTAATTTATTTTCTAAAATGATAAATTGTTTTGGAACTTGTAAAAGTTTTTTTTAAAATGTAAATTTGTTTTCTGAAATGATAATTTGTTTTGGAACTTGTTAAAGTGTTTTTTTTTTTATGTAAATTTGTTTTCTGAAATTATAGTTTGTTTTGGAACTTGTAAAAGTGTTTTAGTTTTTTTAATGTTGGTTTGCACCTCCCGGCCACCGTACTAATTCTAATTTTAGGATTAAGGTTTGAAGTCCCTTAGCGAAGACTCAAAATCTTAAAGGTGCATCAACTATATATTTACCAACCAGTTTGAATTTTTATCAATTTTCCCTTTGATTTAATTTCCATAACAGAGAGAAGAATGTTTAAAGTTACTAAAACTGTTTTTTGTTTTTTAAATAAAGATATGTCCAATTTTTATATTTTCTGAAAGTTGTTATCCTGTATTTAAAGGAAAAAATGTCCACAATAGTAAATACTTTAGATCCATATAATTCTGTCCTCCAAATCTTGTTAGGGTTACCTTTTTATTCATTCACCTTCATTATTTTTTTTATTTTTTTAATCATTTAATAGTATAAAAACAATCATGTTGGTTAAAATATGGCAGCATTGTTATATTTCTGTCTGATCTAAATGTTTTTTTCTGAACTAAACTTTATTCTGTTTAGGATTATTAAGATCTGGGGTATCAACTATCACACAAATGCAACAAAAATGAAAAATAAAAGTAAACAGAACAAAGGTTACAAGTTCAAGGTGCATATTTACCCAACAAATAGTGACTAAAGTCTGTCAGAAATACTGGAGGAAAGACAGAATCCCTTCATTTTTCTAATCCAACAGGTTCAGTCAGTGATATCTCACTGAACCAAGAAAAAGAGCAGAGCAGTTAAAACTGCTGCACAGTTTAACTGTTATTATTTTTGGTCTCATGACAGACAGGAGCTCAGAGCAGGTGAAGGTCTGAAGTTCTGCTTTTATGAGGAGAATAATTTACCTTGGACTCTTCTGCTGTGAATTTGGGATTCTTCAATCCGACGGAGAATAAAGCTTGTCCCATAGCTTTCAGCATGATTGATGAGCGGCTGGTCCTCAAATTAGAGAAAATCCTCAATGTTCAGCTTCCAAACGCCTGCAAACAGCTAAAGGTGCCCATTTTATTTTATACAAGAGCGTTACATCATCTGTTTTTATGTCTTTCTGGCTTCTGTGTGTCACCGAATAAACTTTATCTTCTCACTTTTAAATCTACCTCACTGCTCCATTGATAACATGTTACTAGAATAATAAAACAATTACCCACCGATAGGAGCGTTTGATCCTCGGCTTCACGGTGTCCGAATGATCCGATCGCTTCCTGTCATTGAACTCTGACTCCTGATTGGTCCCTGTCACTGAACTCTGGCTCCTGATTGGTCCCTGTCACTGAACTCTGGCTCCTGATTGGTTTCTGTCACTGAGCTCTGACTCATGACTGGTTGAGTGACTTGAATTTCAAAATAAAAGACGTGATCGTCGCAGGTTCAAAATGTGTCATTTTATTTTATTCTGACTTTAATCTTAGAATTCTGACTTTTTTTTCCTCAGAATTCTGACTTTAATCTCAGAATTCAGATTTTTTCCCCCCAGAATTCTGACTTTCATCTGAGAATTTTGGATCTTAATGTAGATGGGCACTATGAAGGAAGAGATGTGGGAGCACTCAGCTTCACTGACAAAGATTTGAGTTGTTTTGGAGGGCCAGTAACACACTGGTGGAAAATGACAGAATTAGGCGACTTTTTACGTGCCCGAGGGGTCCCCCATGATGCTATTTCATTTATAGAAGAGCAGAAGGCGATTCAAACAAGGGAGCTTGTTATTCTCTAGACATGGCTATGACTTGATGCTAATCTGTTTGTTAGCCGTCAGAATTCTGAAAAAAAAAGTCAGAATCTGAGATTAAAGTCAGAATTGACTTTTTTCCAATATTAAACTAAAATGATATTTTAAAATCAGTTAACTTTTTTGAATTTTTTGCAGTGGCCCTATTACTTTTCCATAGAATATAATTAAGGCTGAAACTACTATTTCTGACAAATTTAAAAGAAATATATACATGTCCACCATTTTTTTTTTCAAATTGCATTTTCGCAAAATTCAATCAGAGCTGAAAATTGAAAAAAAAAAAAATATTTCCCTCATGCAGATACAATGGAATGTAAGCTTTTTTTTTTTTTTTTTTAAACTATTGGTTGTTGTTTAATCTAGTTATTAAAAATATAAAAGCATTACCAATGTCTCCACATTTATTTTTGCCCATTATGAACATTTATTTGAAAACCTTACAATTTTTTTTATTAAAATAAACCTTTTACCCTATATAAGTCATCGTAGATATGGACCTTTAGACAGCAGTCAACCATCTTGTAGGTATTTGAATGGCCTACTCTTGTATTTCCCATTTTGAAGAAAAACTGTTTTATCTATTTATATGCCTGGACAAAAAAGCACAGGTAGCTGAAAATTCCTTAGACAATTAGATCTTGTTTATTTTTTCATAGTGGGACCTTACCCAATAAATTAGGTCTCCCAAATGGTTGGATTTTTCTAGAATATTCAGTTTAATGTTATGAAACTAAAAATCAAGACATACATCTATTGATAGATTTAATCAAAAAGGGGCCACTGTACATGCAAGATAGCCTTTATTAAAGCTCTAAAATATATTTCACTTTCACAAAGCCATGGCAATACCATAATCCTTTACTATTTGATTATTTACACCCAGTAACCAAAGAGCTCACTTAACAGAAAAAAACAAAACAGTTTGTAAGATTTATTGTAGCTGTCAGAGACTTAGGCACAAAAACCAAAGTTGAAACTTTGAATTTCAGGTTGCAAAAATGGGGGGAGGGGGTTGTTACATTAGCTAGAGGGAAAATAAAAGCCAGACAAAGGCAAGGAGGTGCAGCTGGTTTTAGTCTCCAGCTTCTTCTTCTCCAAAAGAGGAGTAATAATATACCAATAGTACAGACGGCTACATTGACCATGTAGGCAGATGCATAGTTCACCTATTTAAAACCTCTCTGTCATTTGTAAAGAGATGTATGAATGCACAGCAAAGCAGATCATGAACAAGAAGAGAAAAACATGAATGTACAGGAAAAGGCAAGGCATGGTCAAAACAACAGCTTTTTCATTGTCTCTATTTTGTTGTGAAAGGCCAGTATGACTCAGTACAGTATTGAGGACAGACTGGTTTGACCAGTTACTATCATTGGTACAAAGGTGAGCTTTTCTGAAAGTAGTCAAAAGAAGGACCTTGATTTTTGTCTTAAAGCAGTTTGATGATTGAGACAATAGGTTGAGAGGCTACATTAAAAAGAAATTATAACCAAGAATCTACAGTCCTTTTATTGTCAAATAAATAAGGATCAATGGAACGCCGCAGCCAGGCTTTGCATGCTCCATCACTAAACGCCTCCTGAATCTTTAGTGGTTCTTCAGTACTGGTGATGCTGGTGGATAAAGGTTAAAAATTCATCTTTGGACAGTTTCTCGGGGTCTATTCGGGTCTGAGAATCGTGGACGATGACTCCATCCACCCAGGCCCAGAAGAGTCGCTCAGCATAACAAACTCTGCAAAAACAAAACGCAAATAACACATAAACCAGATATTTGAGTGGTTGTTTTTTTATCTTTTCAATCTGCACTTCTTAAATGTATTTATTACCTTTAATTACTATTTTATGTAAATGACCACCAGATATATGTAGAATTTTAAGCTAAAAAGACAAAAAAGTGCTGCAAAATTACAAGTGGAAGGAAAATGGTGATAAACGGGATACATGGTGACTTAATTTGTAATCAGTCCACCTTAGTTTACACACGTTATATCCTCCTGCTGCCACACATACAGCACCAAGCATCCCCACGCCACGATAGATTCACTTGGGAAACAACGCTTTCACTTTAATGCCCAACTTTCTGACGTTCAATTTAGGGATGCAACTATTGATTATTTCGCTAATTGATAAATCTATCGATTTTTTGGGGGGATTTATCAATTAATAATCAGATAGCCAAAGGTCCCTTAAAGAAGAGTTCTTACTAAATTAAACCAGGGGAAACTAAATCTTTTCCACTTGAGGAGTTCTGGATCGAGCATATTAACAGACAAAAAGTACATTTTTTTACAAACTTGGTATAATTACTGCTTTTCTTGGGTTGCTCTGTCAGCTAAAGGCATATTTTATGGTCTCTATACTTCATTTAACGATTATTCTAATCCTAAATTGACGATTATCTCAATAATCTATTAATCATGATTAATCCGATTAATCATTTCAGCCCTAATTCAGTTACATAAAATCCCAGTTAAAGTTCTTAAAGTTTGTTACCACTTCACAGCGTATAAATAACCCTGCTACTACAGAACCACACAGGAAGGTGAAAACCTACCGAAAAGGAGCGGCCGCGTTTGGAGGCATGTCATAGGTTGATTTCTTGGTGGTCTTATTAAAGAAGAACTTCTTATTAGAGTTTTTGCTGTACGCCATTGTCCAAGGCTCTGAAGGGAGAAGGAAGGTTCTGTCTTTATTCCTTTATTTCAACACACTCTTTGATATATACCAAAAAATATGTAGAAGATACCATATTCAATAGCACATATACACACCATTGACAGTTTTAATGATATGGAGGCCTGTGGGGAGGAAGTGTCTGTCATCTCTGCCGGTATAGGACAAACGAGGAACTCCTCCTGAACTCTTTGTTATCTTCATCTCTAGTCTGAAGAGCATAATTTGATTAGTTTGTGTTTTTTTAACAGTCACCTTTATCAAAAGTATGAAAATACCTAAAGTAATATTCTCATATAGATAACCAGGTGGAAACTCTTATATAGAAAATCATTTTTTTCTACCTGACGAAGATTTTCTCCATTTCCTCTAGTCTGTAAACTTCCTTAACTCTGTTTGGAAACAAAAAATAACATGTTAAACAATAGCAGGAGAAGTGGGAATCAGAGCATGTGAACGGAGCGCCGCACCGTGCAATTCCCAGTTTTACTAGACTTAAATCAAATAAATGTTATATTACAAATTTTACAATCCAACATTTTTAATTGACGTTGTAAGCGCATCGGAGCGAACTCAAGCTGCTTGCTCCACGCTAAGCTCACATTTTCTGGTGTGAATGTAAATAAGTTGCTTCCATTTAAAATAACAGGTTCAATTTGATAATAAATTATAACATACCATAATTTTCAGACTATTAGCCGCACCTGAATATAAGCCGCAGAAGCTAAATTGCATGATTTGTACATATAGAATAGAATAGAATAGAATTCAACTTTATTGTCATTGCACTGTCACAAGTACAAGCAACGAAATGCAGTTAGCATCTATCCAGAAGTGCTATAGAAGCTGCATAGGACTATAGGCCGCAGGTTTTTTATGTTTAATGTCCGTCTTTCTCGCTGTTGTTCTGTTTCGTACCACTCGCGGTAGAAGTCTGCTTCCGGAGGACCTCCGCATTCCCCCGCGCGCGGCTACCGTACTTGTGTGTTGAAGCAAATGTGACGTCATTATGGTGGATGGTAAAATCCATAGATTTAGGTATTACGCTAGTTGCCATTAGCTGTAAAAGTCCATAGATAAGCCGCATTGTTATATAAGCCGCAAGGTCAAAAAATGGGGAAAAAGTTGCGGCTTATAGTCCGAAAATTACGGCACTCAGAATTTAAGTCCAGATTTTTTTTGGTTTAATTAAAAAACAACAATAAAAACGGCCAAATCTGTTCAGAGTTATGACCTGATGGGGTTCATGTCTGGTCTACTGGGTTTTGCCACCGCCTTCACAAACTTCTCAGCCATCTGGATCCTGAAAAATAGATAAAACAAGTTTATTCAAGTAAATGTTGGTAAACGGTCACATTTCTCAACTCTTTTCACAGTTTTATCTTTTCTATCGTTCTCGATGTTTTACAGCACAAAGGGCCAAAAACCTGAGTATCTTAAATAATGTTTTGAGGGAACATTAGATTCCTTAAGATGCTTCAAATAAAGACTAAGGTAAATGAAAGACTTATTTTAAAAAGACATCCAGATAACTCTGCAGTCAGCTCATCGTACCGCTGGTTGAAGTGCTGATCTCTGACGTCAGTACCATTAAGAATCAGTGCATCCATAATATGGACCGCGCTGATTCTCCGCTGAGCTTTACCCTGAGAACCAAACATGCTGTTTATATATGTTACAGGGAATAAAAATGAAACACGTGTGTTTATTGTAACAACAAAGGAAGTCAGCTATTCCCATTTGAATAAAAAGCTCCTAAAACCAGACAGGATGTTTGATTTTGCTCTTAATAATGTCTGATCCTTTTCTCACCTCCCCTTTTAGTTCCTGAATGATCTCCACATTGAGCAGCGTTTCCCTTGGCAGCTCCAGCTTTAAACTTTCCATTTTCTTCCAGCGTAGAGGCATCTTCCCATCCCACATGTATATCTGAGACTTCTGCACAACCAAAAACACACAGATTATCTGCTTCCACTCTAAAAGCATAGGTTAAAGAAAGAAGAGCTGTGTTTTCACACCTACCCCCAAGGCAAGCAGGAAGATCTGCTCTCCGCCACCCACAATGCACCTGTAGTCAAAAATGTGTCGCAGCTTATTGAGCGTGTTGGAGTCCAGAGGGGTGACCTTCCCCTGGAACTCGCCCATATCCGCGTTCTGAGCCAACAAACAATAAGGACTATTAGGGACCAAACAGCATTACATCATTTTTTTCAGCTTATATCACTCATAAAAATATATTAATTTCTTTTTTTTTTAATATCAGACCTTAATCAGTTCGTAGAATTTGTTTTTTGGGTCGGATGAAGAGGGAGCGACTCTGGCTTTGTCTGGTACCTGGAAACAGTTCACCATAACAAACAACATCATACAAAACTACAATCACCTTCAACTGAGATAATTTAGAGGATTTGGAATGTTTTTATTAAAAGTAAATATAGCTAAATATATATAAATATAAGGGCACTAAATTTGGTACTCACCCCCCAAAGTTTTAGGCACTCTTTCCTGATGTCGGCTTGTCTCGGCTCTGAGAGCGTCCTTTAAATAATGCAACACAGTCATTTTCAGACATAAGAACATCTGCTTCTGTAACAACGAAAAAAGATAGATCCAAGCGTGTTTGCTTACGGGTCTACGACGAAAGCGTGGATCTTAGCCAAGGCCTTGATCTGGACCGCACAGAGGCTGAAGTCACAGTAGAACACAGCCTTCGTCAGCATCATTGTTAAATAAGCAGCTGTTAATGACTGGAAAGCTGGCCCTCTACCTCTCGTTTGAGTTGACCATGAACTGGAAGAAGTCTGTGTCGTCCTTTATGATGTGCAGCGGAACCACTTCTGTGACATCAGTGTCCCTGTCCTTGAGTACATTCAGTTTGAGGTTGACTTTGAACATGTACTCTCTGACCGCATCAGAGCCTGGCTTCAGACCGCGGCACACGATGTACCTGTACGCAGCAGTATGACAACAGATTTACTTCAAGGGGGGAATAATACCACAACCTCTTGGACCAAAGATCAATGTTGCAGCCAGAGCTGGCAGCTACTGATGATAAACAACAATCACCATCTGGGGTCAGTTAGTGATAGAAATGGGTGGAGAACCTAACTGGACTGCTTAAAATCATTTTCTGCTGTTCTATAGGGGTCCAACAGTAATCTATGCTTGGTCCTCTGCTATTTCCTTTGTATCGTCTGCTGCATTCTGCACAAACAAGCTTTCCACTCTAAAACTTATAAAACAAAAGATAACTGACAACTTTTTTGCGTAACTAGATTTCATTATGTTCATTTTTAAAAGGAGATAGAGGTGATTAATTTTTCAAATACTATTTATATCATTTTAATGTTTTTTATCATCAAAAAGTCACCATGACTTAAATAACTAAAAAGTATAAATCAAAGTAAGACGTTTATACCTGCATTTAGTGGCCTAAAGCTCAGATTTCAAAGTAAAAGACTTTCTAAACTCAGAACTTCAAAAGAGAAACTGTACAGCGGTGACTAATAGTTAGTTTAATTTATTATTTTCATCATTAAAACATACCCAACATGAAATGGGAAATAATATTCTAAATGCCATCAAGTATAGATATAGATATCTATAGGCCGTATCACATCAGCCTGGAATTTTTCTCTGTACTCTTTTCAATCTTTGGTGGTCTTTAGATGTTATAGTCATAAAGATTTTTATGAGTTCAATATTATGAATTATGTAAATGTGTCATTATTTGTGTAATGGAAAAACAACAGCTGTAAAATTATATATCATTAAAGGAGAAGTTCGGTTTTTAACACTTTTAGCTTATTTTCTGTAGTGTCCAGGATGAAATCGAATGATCGACACCAAAATTTTGACAATTGCTCCTGTCTCTGCTTTTTGGCTCATTTAGAATCAACCCCTGGCTGCTTAAGAATGGCTTTCATAGAGCATGTCCGATAATGTCCTTAAAACAACCTTAAACGTTCTTTTTTTTAAATATGCTACTCACCGGGTCGTCAGCGCTGTTCAATGACGTTCCGAAAAAAGTTTCGTAAAGAAAAAACGTTCCTGTAGTGTTTTATTCAGCAT